TTATAAGTAGGTGTGGCTTAGCAGGCTCTCGGCAGGATCTGCTCCCCACCTTCTCAGTCTCTTCCTGCTTCCTGGGACAAGTAAAGAAGGAGCGTGCAGAAAGAGCAGAAAGATAAAGGGCATTAGCTTCCCCATCAATGGAGGAAAGGGCACCACCACACTCATTCACAAAAAAAAAGTGTGTTGCCCCTCTCCTCAGAGCAGAAGGGAAGGTTGGTGCCCAGTCCTGGAATCCACTGAAATGCAAGCATGTTTAAGGGGACATGTTTTAATGTAGGAGAGGCCAAGCCAGGGCAAACAGGAAACTGAGGAGGAAGAACAAAATGCTCCTCGTGCACTGTGAACTTTTGAGGAGATAGTAACTGAGGACTTTTGTGGAAGTCATCAGTGCCAAATTTAGGGTGGTGTGGGTGGTCCGCCTCAACAGGGCGCTGAGCTGAGGGGGCACAAAATATAATAATAATAATAATAATAATAATAATAATACCTACATTAATATGAGTACCTGATGAGAAGATCCATAAAAAGCAACTGTGCCAAAAGGTATTATTGTGAAAATAGAAATATTTGCGGGAGCGCCAAATTTTGTGTTCGCTTAGGGCACCATATTACCAAGGTCCACCCCCAGAAGTCATAGGGAAGTACCAGTGGGCACCCTGGCACCTGAGGGCCCTGTGTTGTCAACCCCTGTCTAAAAATGCAAATGAAAGTGATTTGAAATAACTGATCCCTCGTTTTTAAAGTACAAAAGGAGAAAATAATAGGAGAGGTTGATTCAAGAGATGTCTACATGTCGGTATCTGTATGCGCCATGGCCAACTGATAATCCTGTGATGAGAAAGGGGGACAGATTTTGACACCCCGGCCTCCTTTATTTAGGCCTGTGCTGTCCTTTTTGGCCAACTGGAGAGCTTTAAAGGAACAGATTTTATTTTTGGCCTTTTCCTCTATTGGGGCCCCGAGAAAGAAGCCTTTGATTCTACCTCCTGATGTTATCGGGTAGGAAGCTGCAGTTCTTTGAAGTGGTTCTATTTAAGGGATTCTCGTTATTATCTTTGAACTATCCGGGGGCTTCCAAGGCTTCGGTCAAAGGCATGTTCTTCCAGGAATATCCTTGCACCATCAGATTTTGTTTGTGAGGGGGACCCAAACTGGGACTCAGGGGGCAGACTTGAGGAAGGGGCCTGAAAGAGGTTGGACACCAGCCAGGAAAGATGGAGCTTAGTATCTTTAATTGAGCCAAACACCTTGAAGAAGATGAGAGTTCATTTGTAATTCTTCATGGCTATTTACCATAATGTACTCTGTGTGGGGCAATTTTCAAGGCACGGGGGAAACGTTTGGGAACCACTGCTTTGCACCACGCTGGAAAGACATGTTGCCCTCTCAATGTGCCTTTAGCAAGCCTGAGATCAGACCACAGAGAGTCACCTCTGGTCAGAGTAGACGTCCATTAGTCTAGATGGACTAATGGTCCCACTCAGTCTGTCTGTTTCATCAGTTCACATGTGTCTCCAGGAGCAGATGTCCCTGGGGGAAGCTGAACTCATGACTGGAGAATAGAGGATGATCAGCACATGGCACACATTCCTTTCTCCCATTGTTTATTCCACAGACGAGAAGAATGCTCAGGTAGCCTGATTTTCAGGGGGCCTCCCAAAGCCTGATTTAAATATAAAGGATGCAAAGAAGGATGATGTGTTTTGATTCGTGTATTGTTTCACAAAGTGTGAATTAAGTTGGTTTGATGCAAATTGAAGTGAAATTCTCCTCCATGGCACATAGCAGTCTGGATAGAATAGGGGGTGGGTCTCTTTGGGAGAGGGCTGGCAGCAGGTCTGTGCCTCTTCCAGGCAGCTCCCTTGTTCTGTGAATTCTCTGTCATTGACCTCTCTTATGGCCCTCTTATTCCCCCATTTTACCCTCACAACAACTCTCTGTGATACATTAGGGAGATAGTGACTGGTCCAAGACCACCCAATGAGTGATTCACAGATAAGATGTGTGATTAGAACTTGGGTCCTTCCCTAACCTAAACTTCCTCAATCGAGAGCCCTCCAGGTGCTTTGGACTATAACTCCCATCAGCGCCAGTCTACATGGCCATATGATTCTGGGGTAATGGGATCTGTCCAAATCATTTGGGGTGGGAGAACCAGGTTTGAGAAAGTTGCTCTGTAGGCTGATAGTTGTTCAAGTGAGAGCTTCCCTTCTGCCAGCATTCTGGGCTTTCCATTGAGTACTAAGTGGAAGCAAATGGTTTAAGAGGAAATTAAATTTACAGCTCTATTTTTTTCTTCCTTTCTTTTAAAAAAATGCATTTTATTGCTTTGCCTTTGTCATTCCATCAAGGCCAGGAGATAAAGGAATGTTCTGCATTTGTTCCTCATTTAGCGGCCCAGAGGCAAAAAATGAAATAAAAAAGTTTTAAATAAAAAAAAATACCCACCCCACCCCCAGTCACACAATGATGGGGGCATTGCCAAAAACACAATTCCAAAAAGGACAATGGCTACTCTTTGTTGACTAAGTGCTGTGATTTTCAAACTTTGTAGCTTCAGGGTATGCTTTCCACATTGACTTATCTGCTAACAGATATCTGCGGGTCATGGTCGGGGGCCGGGGGAGGATTCTGGGATATGGTCCCAGGGTCATTCTCATACCATGCGAGAAACTAGCTTGGCTTGCAGAGCCTCACGATGCCTATCTGTAGCTATGTTCACACCACTATGATACCACTTTAACTAGTCATGGTTTCCCCCAAGGAATCCTGGGACCTGTAGTTTGTTTCAGGTGCTGAGAGTTGTTAGGAGGCTCCCCTATTCCCCTCATAGAATTACAGTTCCTGGAGTGGCTTAACTATCAGTTCTTGTTCCCAGGTAACTCTGGGGATTGTAGGCCAGTGTAGAACTACAGGTCTCCTGACACCTCTCGGCACCCTTAATAGACTGCAGCTCCCAAAATTCTTTGGAGGAAGCCATGACTGTTTAAAGTGGTAGCATAGTGCTTTGAATGTATAGAGTGAATGTGGCCTGCGACAGGGCTGGGTAGCTTGTGGTCCTCCAGATGTTGCAGCACTCCATCTCCCATCATCATTCCTGACCACTGGCCATGCCCCCGGGGCAGCATCCATAGGGCCAGTCTAGCAGCCTCCATAGGGCCAGTGTTGGTTCCAGTGCTTTCAAAGAGCTAGCCTCTTTTTTCTGAAGAAAGGAGCCAATACTTTGAATATGCTTTGCATTTATCAACTATCCCTTGATTCTAAATGGGACACCTATAATAAAGCTACTACCTCAAATTACATTGGAGGCAGGGAGCGAGAATAATTATATACAGAGCACATTTTTTATTCATTTTTAGAAGGGAATCTAAATGTTGCCAAATGATAGATGTCTCCTATTAAAATGTCACAGTATTCATAATGCTTCTTCAAGAAAATAATGATTTTTAATTTTTTTATTTTTGCTGGAGTGGGGGTTGATAATGGTAGGAGGCCACAGTGGTAGGAGGCCAGCTTGTTTCACTTGCAGACAGCTGGAGGATTCCTACCCCCCCCCAAAAAAATCCCTTTGTGGAATAAGCTACTGGATGCACTGCCAGACTCCATGGGAGGTGCTTGTTCACACTGCTGGGGTGCTGTACCCCACTCTAAAGAGCTTCTCTCATTCCTGTAATGCAAGCCAGGTGTGCTTCGTTTCATCTGGTCAGCCTTGGGAGGGCTATGCATGCAGGTTATGGTGCAGAGAATGAACATCTGGTTGTTCTCTGTCATCGGCATCCTGCTGTTCCAGACACAGACAAAGATGAAACCTAAGGGCAAGGGTGAATTTGAGCCAGGACTCACCGGGACTTAGACCCATCACATTTTCCCCATGCTTGCAAAAAGAAGAAGCCCTTAGCCCCAGGATTTGTGAAATGATGCTAAATACATGGGAGTGCCTGAGCATGTGCAAAGTGCATTTTTTTAAACACAGAATGAAAACACAGCCATGCATTTGGGATGGTTGATCATTACCACAGCATCTGTTTTACATGCAAAAGGGCCCAGGTTCCGTACCCCAGCATCCCCAAGTAGGACTGAGAAAGAACCCTCCGTCTGCAACCCCAGAGAGCTGCTGCCAGTTGCTGTAGACAGTGCTGAACTAGATGGACTCATGGTCTGGCTCTGCATAAGGCAGCTTCCTACGTGAAAGGGAAGGGCCAGAGTTCAGGGGTAGAACACTTTCTTTACTTTCAAAAGTTCAGTTCTAGCATCTCCAGTGAGCCAGTGCGGTGTAGTGGTTAAGTGCGGTAGTCTTGTAATCTGGGGAACCATGTTCATGTCTCCACTCCTCCACATGCAGCTGCTGGGTGACCTTGGGCTAGTCACACTTCTCTGAAATAGCCCCACTCACCTCACAAAGTGTTTGTTGTGGGGGAGGAAGGGAAAGGAGATTGTTGGCCGCTTTGAGACTCCTTAGGGTAGTGATAAAGCGGGATATCAAATCCAAACTCCTCCTCCTCCTCCTCCTCCTCCTCCTCCTCCTCCTCTTCTTCTTCTTCTTCATCTTCTCCTCCAGGTAGGACTGGTCACCTAGCCCTGATCCAACAGGATTCATCTGGCATAGACCACATTCGCCCCATAAACACTATGATATCACTTCAAACAGTCATGGCTTCCCCCAAAGAATTCTGAGACCTGTAGTTCATTAAGGGTGCTGCTGAGAGTTGTTCAGAAATGCTTGCTCTCCTCCCAGAGGTATAGTTGCCAGAGTGGTTTAACCATCAGTCCCTCTTTGCAGGGAATTTTAGCTTGGGGAGATGAATGGGGTCCTCCAAACTTCTTCCCAGGGTGCTTTGGGGGAAACCATGACTGTCTGAAGTGGTATTGTAGAGTTTCAAATGTATGGTGTGAATATGGCCATATTTAAGCCTGGTGATGGCCTTGGCCTAGATCTAAGAAGGAACAGCATGGCGTTTTCCCCATTGACCTCAGTTGCATCCTGCAGCACAATTGGAGGTTCAGATCACCTCCCAGCCCCCTTCTTTGGTGAGGAGGAAGGGGGAGGTCTTCTGAGTGCATTGTACAGGAGAGCAAGAGAGATGGGCTGCCTTACAGAGCAGCTGGGCGTGAACGCCCACCACGTGGGATGAGGAACGCCTCTGCCCCAGCTCCCGTTCCTCCTTCCCAGCTGTGTCAATAGACTCAGAGGAAACAGAGCACTCTGTCTTCTTTTGTTTGGATGGTGGGGCGGTTGGGTTGTGACATTCGCTGGCCAGCAGAGCCACGCGCTGGAGTTGGCCTGGACAGCTGCGTCCTTCGGGGAGTCCTCGAACAATGGAAACCATAGCGGTGCCGTATAAAGGGGGGGGGGAAGGCCCACATATGTTTCATATCTTTACTGCATAGAGAGGCAATGCCGGGACATCAAAAGGAGTGCCAGGGTGCAGGATAAGGGCACCACCCCCTCCTACGCATGCACATGCAAAGCTTTAAAACTAACCACAGGTTGCAGCTGGGTAGGAAGCAGCGGGCAAGGCAAACTTTATAGGGCAGCTGCAACATCGGCTCTCACTGGCCCCTCACCCCCCGCTGGTGCTGTTTCACCCCTCCTGTTGTTGGTTCTGGCCTCAGATGACTCGGGACGGTTGCGGGCCCTATTGCCCCCTCCCACAACCGATGCAGCAAACTGTTTTTGTGTCTATTTAAAAATGGCCATCTTTTTTCTTTTGCTTCCAGGTTGCAGCCATTTGAACTTGTGCATCTAACCCAGAAGCAATATGTTGCATGCTTTGGGTGGTGGGCTTATGCATTAGAATAATAAAATCAAAGAACTGTAGAGCTGGAAGGGACAAAGAGGGTCATCTAGTCCAACCCCCTGCAATGCAGGGATATTTTGCTCACTGTGGGGCTCGAATCCACAACCCTGACATTAAGAGTCTTGTTCTCTACCAACTGAGCTATTAGTTTGTAGGGTGTGCTGGTAACATGGCCAGTCTTAATTTGTTTTTGTGTAAAGTTGTGGGCAGTGCAGGGGGCATCCTACTAAAGTAGATCAAAATAATTTTGCAATCTGAAAATTTAGGGGGGGGGGGAGCTATTTTGTTGCTATTATTGTACTCTGGTCTCCAACTTAGAAATTCTGGCAAACTGAAGGTTTGTGATATAGATCTTTTTCAGATAGATAGATAGATAGATAGGAACAATCTGTGGCATTTTGCCTTGTACAAATAAATGAAGGACTGTGACACGGAAGATGGGGGCAGGCTTGGACAGTGTACAGCTGTACACACCACAAGGCTTCCCTCAAAGAATCCTGGGAACGGCAGATTATCCCTCAGAGGGGGTTGGACACAGCCCTGCTGGATTATGAAATGTAGGCTAGGGCTAGAACCAAGGGCTGGAAAATACAGGGCAGTGGGTTTTAGCTCAACATTAGAAGAAATTTCCTAAAGGCAAGAGTTGTTTGACAGTGGAGCAGATTGCCAAGAAGGGGTGGGTCCTCCTTTTCCAGAGGTGTTTATGCAATGCCTGGCTGGCCACCACTTGGGATACTGGAGTTGCAAGGTTCCTTCACTATGCCATGGGCTGGATCAGAGGACTTCCATGGTCCCTTCCAACTCCAAAATACTATGATTCTATAATTGGAGGGGAAATCCGTTTTCAGGACTGATAACCAGCATCTTGCACTTAATGCACAAGTTTACAAATCCATGGTTTGAACGGTTTCCTGTTTTTCCAGATCAATAAGTTATTTTTCAGTTTTAAACATGGGTTGTTTAGAACATGCAAACATGACCAGGACCATGCATTTTCAATCTTAGCAGATATGTGGGGGGAAAGCAATCTAGGATTGAAAAGCAAACCGCTATTATCATGTCAGTCTCTCCTGCGGAAGCTCTCCACAGCTGTTTGGACATCTCTGTTTGGACACCAGTCTGTTCAGATTTAACTATAATCTCCAAATCAGCTGGGCATGCAGCACGGCTGCAATCACGAGCCCACTTCCCAAAACATAGCACTATACCATGTACTTCCTCTGCTTTCTAAGTTTGGTGTCTGTAATTGCAGCTGAAGGATCCAGGGAGCATCTGGGCTCTGCTGCTGGCCTTTCAGGGATTAGGGCTTGGCTGGCTAAGTCTCATGCTGAAACCTGGCACTCTGTACCAAGAAAGGGAAAAGCCAAGGGAGAGTGGGGAGAGAAAAAGAGAGATGTTGTACCTTGGGGGCTGTAATTCCCTGCTGAATCTCTTCCAATGAGTCCGCTGTGCACTGCCCAGTCACAGGAACATATCAGAAAGGGAAACCCTAAATGATTGAGGGGATGAAACAACTGCCCTATGGGAAAAGGTTGCAGCCAGGCTCGTGCAGAGTGGAGGACAGCTGGGTACACTTGTCCCAGGCCTTTGAGGACAACACCAGCCAGGGCCCCCTGCCATGCCTTCTAGGATGAAACTGAAAAGAATCACAGTGGAAGATATAGGACTCCTACCCTGGGCCCCAGACAAGCTCTGCACAGGCCTGGTTGCAGCATTTGGGACTTTTTAGTTTAGAGAAAATATGAGCAAGAAGTGACATAATAGAAGTGTATAAAATTACGCATGGCACAGAGAAAGTGGATGTAGAAAAGCTCCACACACACCCATAACACTAGTACTCATGGACATCCAATGAAGCTGAATGTCGGAAGCTTTAGGACAGATAAAAGAAAGTGCTTCTTCACCCAGTGCATAGGTAAACTATGGAACATTCTCCCACAGGAGGCAGTGATGGCCACCAGCCTAGGTAGCTTTGAAAGAGCATTGGACAAATTCATGGAGGATGAGGCACCAGGCATGATGTCTGTTCTCTGCCACCATGGTTGGAGGGAGTGATGCTTCTGAATACCAGTTGCTGGAAACCACAGAAGGGGAGAATGCTCTTGAGCTTGAGTCCTGCCTGAGGACTGCCACAGGCATCTGGATGGCCACTGTGAGAACAGGATGCTGGACCAGATGGTCCATTGGCCTGATCTAGCAGGCTCTTAGGTGATTATGAAACTGGCCAAAGGACCAAATGGGAAGGCATGAAGGTAGCTACACAAGGCTGAGTGGGAAGTGTTTGAGCACCCATAGGACTTTTCCCATATCTTCATTGTTTTTTATTGGTGTTGTTGTTAGCCATCTTAGACTCTTTGGGGTAAGGCAGGGTATATATCTTTTTAATTAAGCAAAACATTGGGGTGCTTCCATACCTTTGTCAGGTGGGATCCAGTCACATAACGGCAAGTTCAGGTTGCAGAAGATTTTGCGCTCTTGTGCGAGAAAGCTGCTTCCTCAAGAAACCGACTTTGCTCTGCTGCAATGTTGTTTCGCCTCCCTGCAAACATGTCAATAAATATCCAATGCTGTTTAACCTCCATCGCCACCCCAAAGAAAAACCAACAGCTTTTGGACAAACAAGTCAAAATGAACACTCAATAGACAGGTCATCTGGAAGTGACTACGCTTGTCCTCATGAGAGTGTGATGGTGCCACAATTAATTTGATTGCCTACAAAAAAGTTTTTGCTGAAGGGGTCTTCATGGCATGAAAGAAAAATTTGCAACTGTCTTTTTTTATATATAAGATATTTATTAAAGTTTTCAAAATATTACAAAATGATAATAAAGAAGAAAAAAAAATACAAAATAAAAATAATTAAAAACAACTCAATCTTTCCATTACTTATTTTTCATTAGCTTGTTTCCCGGACCTCCTCACGCCTCCCTTTTTTGTATTCCAATTCAGTTTGTTGGTTCAGCAAATCCTTCCCCTCTTTGTTTATCCTAATCCTTAATCTTAAAGTATTGTAACATTAAATTTTTACCTGTTAGTAATCCATTTTTCATATTCCCTTATAGTATTGCAGCTAAAAACCACTTAATTTCTATCCAACATCATTCTAACATTCATTAATTTTACAATATTTCTGTAAATAGTCTTTAAATTTCTTCCAATCTTCTTCCACCGACTCTTCTCCCGAAAAATTTGCAACTGTCAAAAAAACGAAGGGAAGGGAGGAAGGAAGGAAGGAAGGAAAAGATTTTGGTGCTATCTCTGCCCTGGTTGCTCTTTGTCAATCTCAATTTAGCAACATGTGAAGAGGAAGATTAAAGGGCGCTGTGTGTTGAGGTTGGAGTCGGAGGAGCAGCAGGTCTCTCCAACTCTATTCCTGCCCCAACAGCTGTTGCTCTGAGCAGCTACTTCCCTTCCTTTTCTTTGGGGAGCAAAAAAGCTTAATTGAATAACTGCCTCTGAGCACTCTTGGCTTGTTGTTCCGGAGACCGTGTGTCCTTTTTATGTTTTCACAGCGGGGTGTGTGTGTGTTAGGAATGAGGGAGAAATTTGTTCCCATTTCAGCACAGGCCTTCCTAATTAGCACTTCCTGGACCACAAGCGAGGAGAGCGCTCAGATCCTGTTTGTGAGCTTCCCTTTGGGGCATCTGGTTGGCCAGTGGGACTAGATGGGCCATTGAACTGATGCAGCAGGATCTTCTTGTAGTGTTATGTTCCCATAGGCATCCAGGTGGCCACTGTGAGAGTAGGGTGCTGGACTAGACAGACCCCACTTTGGCCTGATCCAGCTCCAGAGCTCTTCTGATGTTCTGGCGAATAACAGCAAAGGAGAGGCTATTGCCTTTGTATGGTTGGGCTTCCTATTTAGGCATCTGATAAGCTGCTGCACAAACACACCACTGGACTAGTTGGGCTCACATTGGCCTGGTTCAGCAGCCAGCTGGACTAGTTGGGCTCACATTGGCCTAGTTCAGCAGCCAGGCTCTTCTGAGAAATATCTCATCTTAAAGGCTTCTAGAAGACAAAGGTCTTCTCAGAAAAAGCAGCAGAGATTGCATGTGTCTAATATTCAAGGGGAAGAAATTCCAGAGGGTAGGTGTCACCACAATAAAGGCCCAATTTCTACATTGCATGGAATAGGCCTTCTGAAATACTGTGTCTGCAGGAGGACCTCAGCTGCACTGCACGGTTTGACAGGGCATAGAAGGGGTGAGACGATATTTCAGGTATGTTTCAGATGTTGCACATTTGCTTGAGGAAGTTAGAAAGTAAAGAGGAGACTTTATTTCTGCAGAGAGAGATTTTGGACCCTTCCTGTGCTTGTTTTGCTCACTTTGTTTACGTAGGCCACATTCACACCATTGTTGGCATTCGTCTGTCGTGAGAGATAGTGGAAGAGTGCACCATCAGGGTTAAAGTCAAACCATTGGAGAGTTACAGCTCCTGCAGCATGGTGTTCCTTTTCTCGGACTCTAGTTACCGTTGTGGGTATATGACCTGTCTGTCTCCAGGCACTGCGGTTGGCTGCAAGGGATTCCCACATGGCGGAGTTGATGTTGTCAGCATTCATGTCTCATTTGTAGACATCTTTGTAGCACAGAGTTGGTCTGCCAACAGGCTTGGTACCTGAGGCCAGCTGCCGATACATACCATACATACTATGATACCAATTTAAACAGTCACAGCTTCCTCAAAGAATTCTGGGAGCTGTGGTTTGTTAAGGGTGTTGAGAATGGTTAAGAGACCCCTATATTCCCCTCTCAGAGCTACAGTTCCTAGAAAGGATTGACAATCAATCCCTTTTCACAGGGTTCAATCCCCGGGCTCTCCAGTTCAGCCAAAGACCTGTTGCCTGACACCACCGGAGAGCTTCTGCCAGTCAGAGTAGACAATGCTGGGCTAGATGGAACAATGGCCTGACTTGGTATGAGGCAGGTTCATATGTTGTGAGATCCAAAGCTTATGCAGAAGGTCCCAGGTTCAAGGCTCAAACAGTAACAAGTGGGAAAGGCTGCAGACTGGGACCCCAGAGAGCTGCTCTTTATTCAGCATACAATCAAAAGTTTGGCTAGAAAGCAGAAGTGGGAGAGTTAACTTTTAATATAAAAAACCACCCCCTCCTTACCTCTCCACACATCATTACGACATCC